CGATCGCAGCGGGGATCAGAGTGCACGAGGGAACGAAATTTGCCGGGGCATCGGCGGCGTCTTAAATTTGTCTCAGGATTACGGGACTCCGATACTCCGACGCCGGACAAAGGGGATCAGCCAGCGGCGGGGATTAAGGCCGACGAAGAAATTGAATTCGTCGGAAATCCGTAAACGCGTCGCGACGTAGAGCGAATCGACCGAAGGGCGTCGACGTGTTTCCGGCCGCACACCTGACGTTCCTCCGACAAACTCCGGGCACGAAATCGCATCAGCCGAGAATGGACCGCTTCCTCGATCTCCCATGCTTCAGCCGTTACTTACTCACAGCTCGGGACAACCCGGGCTCGTTCTTGATCATGTCCCCTTGCAATTTCCAAGTAAGATCAATATTTAGAAAATAATTACTCGTATAATTTGTGTGGAAAATCTGATCGTAAAATTAAAAACGATTGACTCTTGACACGAACGGATGCACGCGTCGAATAAGAGACGCTTGATAAAAAGCGCGAATTCGATCGTTTGGCAAACAAACGTGGAAAGAAACGCGGTGCGGCTAATTCTGTTTGACGTGACTCGCGCGGAGATTTTTGCTATTCCGCCGGCGTGATTTCTACGTGGCGATGGATAATACGTTTCCATATGCAAAAGAACCGGGCGAACAGGGTTTCCGGCGGCGCGCGTCGGGGCCGGAGGCCGACTACGTGGCTTGGGGATGAACCGCGCGACGTTCGTCCCCTCGGAATGAAGTTACTCGTAAAAATTAGTGGCTCTCGCCGTTGGCAGATACTGAAAATGAACAGGATATAGAATTTCGAAATACGCGGAAACAGTCGTTACATCAGGGGACGAGTAGAAAGAGACGGCCGATGTTATTACCCGTATAATACGACGCGCGTCCTTCTAGAATGCATTTTCATTCAGATCTAATTATTTGTTGGACTTCTAGTTTAGTAAGTCGCAAATTCATTCATCCTACGTGTTTGGAAATTAGTTACTTAACTTATAATTAGAATAAGCAGATTCAAGTCAACATTTATTCTGTCACGGTCCTGCGAGAGTCTCTATTAAAAACTAGTTGATGCATAAATCATTTTTAATGAAGTCCCAATTTCATTCTTCATCTGTCACCTCTAAGTTTCGCGACTCCAATCACGCGAGAGAGTAACGAAACGAGTCGTTTTACTTTTTGGTAACTGCAGTATAACAAGTGGAAATGTCGACAGGGGAAGCTATCGACTGTCGAGTCCTCGACACGAGAAGCGTCGATTTTTCACTTGTTCGTCGCTGTAAATTTCGCTCGGTCGCGTGAAGTTTATTTGACCGGAAGCTGCGAATCGGGTATTAATGAATTTCCCGATATTTTCGAGAGGGGGTGCAAAGCGCCCTATCGGCGAGACGCGAGTCTCTTTGAAAGCGGCTTTCTCCGGCAACGATCCCGTCGAGCGGCAGGTTCCAGTATTTAAGAGGTCCTATATATCTTCCCGCGTAGCAGCCCCTGTAACCTGTGGCCGGACGTTTCCAATTTATTTGCACCCCCGGTGCATCTTTCATCGGCCTTTTCGTGTTTCTCCACCGACGTTCCATTCGGCTTTTTTTTTTCCTCTGCTCCTCGCCCCCGGGTGAAACCGTCCAGATATCCGGTTGAAAATTATGATACGCCCCCGAGAAGAATTTCTCAAGTTTCCATTCGTCATCGTTCGACTTTTATAAAATTATTCAACGTACCCTTGTTTTATGAATGTAACAGCCTCGTAGCTTATGAGGGGAAATAAATACGGTAGACGATAATTTCCAAGTCAAATTCGAGTCCTCTTAGAATCACGAGGAGCGTTCATCAACCCCTAGCCGTGGCAGATAACGCTCGTAATTTACGGCTCCTTATTACGAAACCCCACGAACGACATTTTCTTCAAGAAACGCGTTGATAAACATATTTGTCTCCGGCTGGAAATTACGTCGGCCACGGTAAGACCGTCCGCCCTTCCGATTCGTTCATTACGCCGCGGGTTAATTCGTTCCCAGCCAATCGTGGAAGACGCGTCTCTCCTTCGTTAATAACGGATCCCACAATATCCACGGAGAAGGAAGCATCTCGAAACTTTTTAACCATATTTTATCTTTATTACTTTCGCTTGGTTCAGGAAAGATTCCACGCGAGAACATACGGCGATGCGTGCTCCGCAAAAAAAAAAAAACATCTTCAGTTAGTTAATTTCTGCTGCCGTGAAGCAAACAGATTGGAGCCACGGGGCGGGCGGCCGCCGGAACAAGGGGAAGAAAATCTGTGGTAATCCCCGTGGGGATAATCGGCGCCGAGCTTCGCGCNTCCCCCCGCCCCTTAATTAACGGCTCATCGCAAACGCGAGGGATTACTTTTAATTAGCTTCTCGAACCGCCCGGCAAGTGCGAACCTCAACCAAAGAGTTTGTCGGACGCGCATCAACGCGTGCACGTTATCCTATGTACACTCTACTGATTAAATACTGTTTCGCATTATCGAATTAATATCGTACGTTTTTTCTAGAGGGGTTTATATACTCTAGGGACTTAAGGAATTCGAGTGTTGTAGTCATAGGAGTTTTGTGTGATTAATACGTCTTCGTAAAATTAAATCTACTGGTAATTATGTGTAGAATCATTTCCTCAGGTATGAAACGCGATAGGATTCGTGGATTAACACTAGATTGCCCAAGGAAGTCATTTTGACTGCTTTTGGGTAAATATATAAATAATAATGCATAAATTATTTTTTCCCAAGTGAAGTAAATTTTTTTTTTATTGTTAACATTCACTAATAACTTGTTATATGACTGTAAATAATATAAAAAATATTAAAAATTAATTTTAGACAAATTTCTTTACACATTATTCTTTCACAATGCAGTCATTTTGACTGCTTTTGGGCAATATAGGTATATACTAAGTTTCAATCTTTCTAGTGTTAATTAAAATAATAAATACCTAATTAATAAATACTGAGGTTTTATTCAGAGTCGATAGAATGAATACAGAATGACCAGAAAGAGAAGGGATACTTTTTAGCTCAAGGATCCTCCAACTTTTGTACTATTTCCCTTCAAGCTCTCCTTCAGGAGGCACCCACCCACCCACGACATGAAGGTAGCTCACGTTCGACTTCTGGCTCCGAATTTCTCTACGTATAATTGGACGGATAACGTAAACATTGGTTACAAAGGTTTTATCTCCAAATCGAAACAACGTCATCACGACTTTCCCAGATATTTTCCGTCTACGTTCTACCTTTACTTCGGTAACAATCGAATCAGGATCTTCTCCGTAAAAGTCTGGAATGCAGCTACAACAATGTGTCCTCCGGCGCGTATCGGCGATACTTCGGTAAAGAAAGTCTACCCGACTGAGGGAGAATGAAAAGTTCAAAGTGAACCACGTCGCAACTTTCTTCACTGTAAACTTTAATATTCCGTTTCCAACGGAGGGAAAGTTCATAAGAGAATCTGATATCAGTTCCAATCAAATGTGTAATTGGTTCGTACGGACGAAGCGTGATAAATAAATTGTACACTCGTTTCTTCGATGGACGTGTGACAATTTTTCTTGCGAGAATTTCATCCCGATGGGACTAATAGACTCTGTTGATGCCAGGAATTCTGGAAATATTCGCCGATAAACCAGGGCTGCCTGGACGTGCCGTGTTTACGGCTGGGCGAGATTACTTTTATGACGCGATAAAAACTGCTTCGCTAAGATCGAATAAAAGACTGGAACTAAGTAAGTCAAAGTAAATTTTCTCAGAATTTTTGGAAAATTTTTATCTGGAAGCCCAGATTTTTGTCGTGCGATTCATGACGATTGGTCCTCGATACGAATTCTGCAGATTCCTCAGAGAACGATTCTAATCGGCTAAACTAAATTGGACGTGATTAACGAAAACGAGATTTAGTGGAAAGAGAAGCCTGGAAATTGCGCTGTTCTATTTCTTAATTTTGGACAGAGGCTGTGTTTCCTTCTTAGAAATAAAGACGACCGTTCGTTACCTACAGTTTCATCTTTCTTTTATAACTGTAAATATCCGTCACGTTGAACGTATTATTGGTGAGGGGTCTTCCTTCAGCAGCCGTAACGTTGGATCATAAACCATAGTAAAGCGCGGATATATATTCTTCGGCGCCGTAAATCCTAAGCCGATCCACATAAACAACGTCTTAACGCCTCGTTTAAACACGAACGAAACTTTTTAATTTCCATTTTTCCTCCCAGACGTTTGACGGGTCGAACAGATCCCATCATCCATAATTAGATTCCAACCAGTAACTTAGTAATAATCATAGAGTCTTAAATGTTATTCGATAATAATTAAAAAATGTAAATAAAATATTCGAATAATCTGGGATGTAAAATTGCAATCCCAGAGAAATGTACGAATTTCTATTCTATATGAAATAAATTGAAATATTTCAATAACTCATTGCGTTAAGGATGTATAGGCTATACATATACTTAAACAATGCTGGCATGTTGAATTTGTTATTATAGAT